TGAGAAACTGAAATTAACTTGAGGCAATTAATGTACTCAGTTTATGTTTTTCTGTTAATCACTCATAGTATGTCAGACTCAAAACATAGCAGCAGCTGCTTCAGCACTGGCTAATGTGCGCTTAGAGGAGTCCGGAATACGTGTTCGATTGTCCTCCACCACCTGTATCAGTTTTTGCAGTTCTGTTTCATTTTTGGTTATAGACTGGTTAAAATTTGTCATGAGTGCCACAGTGCGTTCTGCAGTGTCATTAACGACCTTAAGTGACTTCACAACATTTGCTACTTTTTGAAATAAAGGAAGATCATTCCATGAGTCTGGTTCAGTTTCACGCAAGATAGCAACATCCATTCCAAGTGATAACAATGCAGCACGAGATGTACCTGATACCAGATCATGCAGTGGTTTGCTTTTCACCTGTTCCAGTTCAGTTGCAGGATATTTGACACCTCGCACACTCCATTCAGAATCTACTGCAGTCATTGCTTCCACAATCAACTGCTTCTCAGCATTTGCAACCTTATTTGAGAACAATGACAGCCAAACCATTTCTGTACCGAGATACCACAGATGATTTTTCAACTTTTTTGTGGCAGCACTTGCTACATTCTTGTTGATTTCAGAGTATTGTTCAATTCTGCTCAGAAGTTGCAGGTCATTGACTGGTGCATCACTGGGTATTGGGCACAACATCCATGCTGGCACATATATATGGGTTGCAAATAGGCAGAATTCAGTTAAACTTTTTGTTTCAGTTGCTGTTAGCTTGAATTCATTGCGGAACAAATACATTTTGAGACAGTAGATCACTTTGGCCATCCATCTGGCCATGTGATATGCTCCAGGAACACGGAAATGGTACTTGCCATCAGTCTGCATTGGATAACCCAGCACTAAGAGACAGAGTTCAACCAACTCCTTGTAATCCTCTCGTGGGATGTATGAGCTGTCAGCTGAAAGAAAACATGTCAAAGATGGTACTATGTCAGACCGCATCATCTGTAGCAATGAGTGGTTCATCCTGTCATCATCAAGTGGCTTGTGGTTTGACTGATTTATATTTGGCCAGTAGGCTCGAAATCTTTCANACATTCCAATGTTGGGGCCACGGCTTG